AATCCTGTAAGGGGTCATGATCACCCACTATTCCCCTTGTATGTGCAGATCTGGAATATGTAAACTGTTAATTTGTTACTCTGATTAAAAAATAAAATAAAAAACCCTTTGTTTTGAAAAGTGTGCAACTGTACTTTCACTTCTAAAAGGTGAAACAAGTCAGTTCTTAGAGCTTTATGAAGGACTGTGTCATCAAGTCATCTTAGATAAAACTTTCTATTTCTTTTTAGATCAACTCTTAGCTAATTTTTTGTCGACAGTCTTCAGAGAGCTGGACCAGCAAAGGTTAGCTTTGCCTAGATCAGAACTTTTAGATTTTCCAGACACAATCTGGGTATTTATAGTACAAATGTCCCCTCATCTTAGTTGCTTCTTCATGTGTTTATGTTAATAACCCCTCAGTTCAGCCCCTCTGCTGAAAGGCAATACCGAAGAATGCTCAAACTGCTGCACAATTGCACTCATCTCACACGCTAGCAAAGTAATGCTCAAAATTCTCCAGGCCAGGCTTCAACAGTACTTGAACCGTGGACTTCCAGATGTTCAAGCTGGATTTAGAAAAGACAGAGGAACCATAGATCAAATTGCCATCTCTTGGATCATCGAAAAAGCACAAGAGATACAGAAAAACATCTACTTCTGCTTTATTGACTACATCAAAGCCTTTGACTCTGTGGATCACAACAAACTATGGAAAATTCTTAAAGAGATGGGAATACCAGACTACCTGACTTGCCTCCTGAGAAATCTGTATGCAGGTCAAGAAGCAACAGTTAGCACTGGACATGGAAAAACAGACTGGTTCCAAATCAGGAAAGGAGTATGTCAAGGTTATATATTGTTACCCTGCTTATTTAACTTATATGCAGAGTACATCATGCAAAATGCTGGGCTGGATGAAGCAAGAGCTGGAATCAAGGTTGCCAGGAGAAGTATCAACAAACTCAGATATGCAGATGACACCACCCTTATGGCAGAAAGTGAAGAACTAAAGAGCCTCTTGATGGAGGTGAAAGAAGAGAGTGAAAAAGTTGGCTTAAAACTCAACATTCAGCAAACTAAGATCATGGCATCTGGTCCCACTGAAGAAGGAATTCACAGGGCCTGGACTTCATCTTAGGCCTGTCCATGCTGATCATGCTCGGCCGCCTCTCCAATGGACTCTGAACTCTCTGCTTAGTGCCTGTGGGAACGACAGTGGAAGGATAAGACACCCTCCTGACAGGGGAACCTTGAAGATCATATCCAGGTTACTCATCCCCTAAGAGAAAACATACTCTAATCACCCCTGCCTCCGGACAGTATCTATTGGAATGTAACCACAGGCTTATTGGTTATTAACTGGTTGGAATGTAACTGCGGGCTTATTGATTATTAACTGTTTGAACACATAACACATGAATGATGGGGTTATTGTGATTGTATTTACCCTTCCTTTGTAAGTCTCAAGGAATTTGGGGTGGTGGGTAAGGACACATACACTCAGGGTATAAAAGATTTTCACAAATGCTGGTCCGGGACCTTGGGCCCACCGGTGTAATAAACTGCACTCCACTATCTGCATTGTCCTTCTGAGTGAGTTTGTTTCCGGAATGCGTGGCTATAACATCATCAATTCATGGCAAATAGATGGGGAAAGAATGGAAACAGTGACAGACTTTATTTTGGGGGCCTCCAAAATCACTGCAGATGGTGACTGCAGCCATGAAATTAAAAGACGCTTGCTCCTTGGAAGAAAAGCTATGATGAACTCAGCCCCTCTCCAGCTGGTCTCTATGTGCTCCTTAACCCACAGATGAGATGATAACACCCTGACACAGTTGATTTCATTCTTAATGTGGAAACTTTACATTTAAAAGCAACTATTTTTGTTTGTTTGTCTTTGTCATAAACAAGTGGGTTAAAACAATGTAAGTTATAGACAAGTGGGTTTGAAATCATGTCAAATCAACATACAACACATGAGAGGAGGAGGCTTTTGCTTTGGGTTGGGAAAGGCTGCCTGGTGACTATATTCATCTTAGAAGAGTTGGGTGTTCTTTTGTCATGAAAGAGAAGCTGAGTACTATAAAAGTGGAGTTTACCTTTCCTAGATCTTCATTACATCAACACTGTCAATGGCATTGTTATGGTTTATGCAAACAGTGGCCAAACAATGGAAGTTGCTGTAGATGGGAAGGTTTGGTTTTAGAGCTTCAACTACATTGAACTGAGGAGAATGACCAACTGTTCTGATTTGCCCAGAACTGTTGCGTTAGCACTGAAAGTCCTGCATCTCTGGAAACAGGTACACAAATAGTCCCAGTTTTAGGCAATAAATGCTTAAAGTTGGGGGAAAAACACAAATCCTTGTGGCAGCTTCCCAAATAGCTGAAAGTGACACTATTTTTAGCATCAAATAGATATGGAATAGATGATCTGTCTTCCAGAGTTGGGGTTGCTTTCCTGCTGCTGTTGTTCTTGCATGCTGATGTTGACAGTCATGATTTGCAGTTTGCAATAATCGATTATCTACTTGTATATTATTCTAAGTGATGCACCTGAAGTGTACAACTTAAATGTACTTTGAGTATCAGTGTTAGTGGTTGTCTTTGACTATTGTGCTTTGTGTTGAGATAGTACTAGTTTAATTTCAACACTATGACAGTATTTACCAAGAGTTCAGACAAAGATCATGAGAATGACGACCATACCAAAGCTGACATGATATAAACATCACTTTAAAAGAAGGCTAAAGGATTGTGTTATTTTTAATGACAGATGGAAGGACAATTACAGTTGGATTAGGAAATTTAATAACCAAAACAGTCCATTCTCCACAATAGATGGAGAAGGATTTGGGATTGGGCTTTGCTATGATTTGAATGTTTGGATCTTCCCCAAATTCGTATGTTGAAGTCCTATACCAAATGTGATGGTTATTAGTAGCTGGGGCCTTTGGGAGGTGATTAGGTCCTGAGGGTGGAACCCTCATGAATGGGATTAGTGCCCTTATAGAAGAGGCCCAAGAGAGCTCTCTTTCCCCTTCTACTATGTGAGGATACAATGAGAAGTCTTTGACCAGGAACGGGGTCCTCACTTGACCATGCTGGCACCCTGATCTCAGACTTCCAGCCTCCAGAACTGTGATCAATAAATTTCTGTTTTTTTAAATATAAGTCTGTAGTATTTTGTTATAGCAGTCCCAATAGATTAAGGCAGGCATGTGAAGAATCAGATGTGAAATCATTTATGGATACTGGGAGAAAAACATCTGATTTCTTGGAAGTGCCTAGAAATGAAGTATTTTGTGAATAGAATTTTGACAGTACAGGTGAAAAAGTTTCCCTTACAAGATCCCAGAATAGACCTAAATAAATATAGTCAATTTTATTGATTTAATCTTTGACAAAGATGCAAAGGAAATGCAATGGAGAAAAGATAGTCTTTTCTAAAAATAGTGCTGAAATAATTTGATATCACATGGCAAGAAATAAATCTAGACCCTGTATTTTCAGAAAAATTAACTAAAAGTGGATTTACAGAACTAAATATTAAACACAAAACTTAAAACACCTAGAAAATAACACAGGAAAAAATCTTGCTGACTTTGGGTTTGGTGATAACTTTTAGATGCAAAACCAAAGGTAGGAAAGCTATTGACTTTGGACTTTATCCCAGGTAGAAAGGAAAGCTATTTACTAATTTAAATTTTTATGAGATCACCCTGGGGGCCAAGTAGTACATAGGTTGGATAAAGTTAAGACCGAGGGCAGGGAGACAAATTTGGAAACCACTGCCAAATGATCTCCAAATCTGTTGTGCTGTGCTTAGTCGCTCAGTCATGTCTTACCCTTTGTGACCTCAAGGACTGTAGCCCACCAGGCTCCCCTGTCCATGCGGAATCTCCAGGCAAGAATACTAGAGTGGGTTGCCATGCCCGCCTCCAGGGGATCTTTCCAACCCAGGGATTGAACCCAGGTCTCTCGCATTGCAGGCAGATTCTTTACTGTCTGAGCCACCAGGGAAGCCCAGATAAGAGAAGGAGGTACAAGGTAATGGGCTAAACATTACTGGGACAAGATGGTAAGTTTGCTTTTGAACATACTGAAGTGCCAGAGTCCTCAGACTGATAGCCAGGGAGAGGTCAGTCTAGTACTTGGAGGAGCACACAGGAAGAATGACAAGAGGATAGCAGAGGGCCACATAAGTAGGAGGAAGAAAAGTGAGAGCATAGCCCTGGGAGGCAGAAGTGTCCAGGAGGAAGCTACTGCATTCAAGAAATGAAGCATATGTGCCTTTAGGTGGAGATAATGGTTGACTTTGATCCTGAATAAAATCCACATTATTAAATAGGGCTGTGCAGGTTTTTCAGTAAAGTCAATAATTATATCAACGCAGGGATTCCCAGGTGGCTCAGTGGTAAAGAATCTGTCTGCCAATGCAGGAGCCTTGGGTTTGGCCCCTGGGTCAGGAAGATCCCCTGGAAAAAGAAATGGCAACCCACTTCAGTATTCTTGCCTGGAGAATCCCTTGGACAGAGGAGCCCGGGGAAGCTACAGTCTAGGGAGTCACAAAAGAGTAGGACACAACTTAGTAACTAAACAACAACAAATAGCAACTCCATGTTATTGTTATGGAAAAAGAAATCTACTGATTAATTAGTTTATTAACAAAAACCTTGTTGTTGAGCAGTTACATGATGTGTACCAGGAAATGTTTGTCATACCAGAGGAGGGAGGAATTTTACATTTTTGCTTCTTTCTTCTTGAAGAAGTGGATATTGTTCAGTAGATGGTACTGGTGAAATCTGCAATTGATCAGTCTTCATGCTACTGCCAAGCAGCAGCTAACATGGAACTATTAAATCTTTTTATGAAAAGCCATGTTCATTGTATCTTTTGTGTATAATTTTATAACTAGAGTAAAATATTACTATAGACTGCTGTTTTATCTTTTTCCTTTGGAAATATGGATTATAGCAAGAGGTACAAATCTTTAAAAAATAAGGACCAAACAACTTCAGAGAAAAAAATACTTCACTGTAATTTATTGAACATTCAATAAACATTCAACTAACTGCTAATAAAATGCCTTACTGAAAAAAATGATACCAAACAAAATAAATTTAAGTATTTTCTTAAAAAATCATTTTAAAGTTAGCTCTATTCAGTTAGTGACTAAAACAATAAAGGCAGACAAACTTTATAATTAGCTGCTTTTATATCTTTCGGTCCATATTATTAAATGATGGCAAATACTCAATACAACCATGTGTAGAGAACTAGGCAACAAGAGGATTAAGCCAATGACTACCCTCACATGAAATCATGTCTGAAGTTGCTTTGCTATCAAAATCTGTATTTTTAATCTGTTGTGAGCACTGAGACAAGCTTCACATATTATCCCCAAAAGAAACACAGTGCACAATGTGATTGCCTATTCAGCAACAGCAAGCACTACATTCATAACCATTTCATTCCAGGAATTAAATTAGGTCAGCCACAGTCTTTGGCATTTCCTCCACCATGGTGTGGTAGAAAGTCTCAGTGTCACAAAGAATCTTCTTGTCTTCTTCAATGTTTATGGCCACAGTTTTCCTCCCAAACTGACTCCCGCTTCCACTTCTGAACAAAAGAAAAATTATTCACCAGAATATCAGTTATCAAGTATTACATGAAGTACAAATGATATGAATTACTTGTTAACCACCAGTGGCTGTTTCTTTGCCAAGATTATACTTGGAGAGCTTCTAATCAGAGCACTAGATGCTAATCACAAAATCTAAAGAAAAAGAAAATATTACTTTTGTGGTTGTTCTAAAAGATTCATCTGGCTGCAAGATCAGATTCTATCAGGCAGCCTGAGTGTTATTACTTATAAAGAAGACCACAGAATTGTGCTTGGGGTAGTGAAATTAAAGCCTGTGCCAAAGTGAGCCAAGAGCAGGTGTTAGCCTGGGACAGACGTAAATACCAGACGAAACAAAAGGAACAGGTGTGTGATCCATTTTGACACACTTTTGGAACTACAAATTGAAAATATAAATTCTGGAATGTTAACTATTGCTTAGGACTATTCTTTCCAAGGCAATAACCACTAGCTACATGTGGTTATTTAAATTAAAACTAAATAAAATAGAAAATGTAACCCCCAGTTGCATTCACTGTATTTCAGTAGACGCACGTGGCCTGTCACCACTGTGTTGGGCAGCATGTATATGGAACATTTCCCTCACTACAGAAAGTTCTACTGGACAGACTTGGTTCAGGACTTAAAACTTTTTCTGTGTGGGGGGAACCTCTAAAAAATATGTATGGTAACCCATATTTATCACTGATTTCTGCTCAGGTCACCCCATACACTGTAACACTATTGACTGTATCACTGTAACACTATTGACTGTATCACTGTATCACTATTACTGCCACAGCTCTCTACTAAAACAGATGACAGACCCAATCAAAAATGTCTTGGCTGGAACAACTTAAAATATCAAATAACCAGGACAAGAGGAAAACAAATAGGAAAACACTGACTTGCTCTTTATCCAAACAACATGCTGTTGCATTTAAGAGTCTGTGTCCTAAATCAGGCCGATACCATTTCTGAGCATCACCTCACCATCTATTCTTACCAACTACTACTATATTTTTTGACAAAGTTATTTTTATATTAGTAACAAGACATACTTCAATTTATTTAAGTGATAAAGCTACTATAACTAAGCCTGGGTCAACATAAATTGCTACCAAAAAGTGCCAAGAAAAATCTCAATTATACAGGACATCATCAAGAATGCACAAGATATGAGAAACATGACCAAAAAAAAAAAAAAAGACTTGTGTGTAAGTTAAGAAAGACAACCAGATCTAACAGCGTTAGTGATGTCCCCTTTGAATATAAACTATATAAAGTCCAATATCTGAACTACATTTCACATTGTTTTCCGACTGTGTTCTGAATAATCACAAATCTAAGGACAATTTAAATACCACTTTTCATCAACACATTTCCTGATTCATTTACCTGATTTTCAAGGTTGTCTGGCTGACAAAATCATACTTGAAAAAACAATACATGATTTATTTTTCCAGAATAAAAGCAAGTAATTCAGTGAAGATGATAAATACTCAACTGAGAATACAGTTTTCACAAGAAGTGGGCAGATCATAGTTCATAACCATGAACATTAGTTGTACATAAAAATATGAGCCTGAGATATGATAATATATTCAAATTCTAATTCAAAAGCAACTTCTATACAATCTTTCAGGACACAAAATTGTAATGAACTTCCTATAAATCACACTGCTGTCTGTGGAGTATGGTCTTTATATCCCTACATTGCTTGAGCTGACAAAGACAATGAAAAATCTTCCCCTCAAAATCAACTTTTAGTAGATAAATAACATAATGAAATTAAATACCAGTAAGTCAGTATCAAAATGTGGTTTGTACCTTATCAAGGAGTTCCCTCTTGGTAATGCCTCTTTCTTTCTGTCAGCACCTGAAAAATATTAATAAGCCTTAACTCTCAGGAGTCATTTGTTGAGTCAGGGTTTAAATTGGTAAATGTGTATGAAACCACGCATTCCTGGGTGCCACAGCAGACAGGACTTGAAAGGAAACAGTCTTATTTTGAGCAGGGGGCAAAGACAATGCAGCACTTCTCAGCTACATTGTAATTAGATCCTGCTTCAGTTTATTAAGGAAATAATGAGATATTAACAGTGTCTTAAGTAGCAATACCAGGGAAGAACAGATCCTGCCACATAAGAGACTGAAATCCTGACCTGCGTTTTCTCAGATCCAGTCTACCCTTTGCCTTGAGTCCTTAAAAAGAACAGCCTGTGTACTGGCTGGTCCCTCATATGTCATAGACAGCATACAATTCCTTCCTTACAGTATTTCAGAGAGGAAAGTGTTAATTCAGATCAGAGTCAGAATAAAAAGCCATTTGATTTCTCACTCTTACCTCTACCATTGGAAGGAACCCATGAGAAATTCATTCTTTTAATTCTGCCAAAATATTGATATTACTGTACCAAATTTTAGAACAAAATACCCTGGAGTTAGTTACCTGCAGTTTTTCTACTATCTGGTATGGTTGTTTTTCTCCTTGTGTTTACTCTGTTAGCTTTATTACAATCACTAAGACACTGCAGATACTAGTTACTGCAATTTTAGCACAGAGCTTAAATAAGAAGGTAAAAAAAAAAAATCCTGGCTATAATTTTTATGTACATTAATTAGAAAAACATTATTTCAAAATCATTATGATACAATAATATATACCTTTCAAAGATCAGTTCTTTCTTCACTAGAATTTGAAATGGATCCCTCAGGAACTTTTTGAGGACTTCAGCCAATATTGATTGGCATTAAGACAGAAAGGGACACAACCTTAAAAAAGAGACAATGATGAATTATGATGACGTATCAACTATAACAGTTTTCATAATAATACTTAAAGGAATAATGTTTGAGACCAAGCGTCCCTGTCTTACTACAGAACTGAGTGAGACAGAGATTGTAGGAAACAATTGCTTTTGGCAGGGGAAAGGACAATATAGCACTTCACAGCTATATTGCAACAGTTATTCCAACCAGCCCTCTGCAAAAAATCACATGCACACCTGAGTCCTTGTATTTGATTTGTGGTAAAACTCATGGATTTGACATTTAATCCTTTGGCTCAATATTTTTTATCAGCTTCATCCAAAATAAGCATCTTGGTCCATTTGGGAAAGTGAAAGAAAGTTTTACTTAAAAGAGTGGGTTGTGCATAGAGACTTCCTTCCAGGGACCACAGTACAAAAGGAGCGGGGAGGGAAGAAGAAGTTTACATGAAGAAATCTGACAAACTCTATCTCAGCCACATGATCAAGGTCAACATCAATAGTAAAACCCTTTGATAGAATGAAGTGAAAATGGTATTTTACCTGTGTGGTCTTCCTCCTCAAGACCCCCTAACTACAGTCTAATCTTGAGAAAAACATCAGACAAATTCCAATACAAGTGCATCCTACTAACTATCTGACCAGTGCTTCTCAAAATGGTAAAAAAAAAAAAAAAAAAAAAAAAAAAATGGTGGTGGGGGGGGAGAGGAATTTAAATAACTGTTACAGGCAAGAAGAGCTTAAGGAAACATAATTAAATGTCAGATGGTATCCTGAACAGGATCCTGGAACAGAAAAAGGACACTAGGTGAAAACTAAGGAAGCCTGAATAGATTCTGGACTTTAATTAATAATGTGTCAATGATGGTTCATTAATTTTAACAAATGTGCCAAACTAATATAAGTTGTTAACAATATAGGAACCTGGGAACTCTCCTCCCAAATTTCCTGTAAACTTAAAACTGTTCTAAAAAATAAAGCCTATTAAAGAAAAGTCTTAGTATCGTTTCTAGATATTCATGCATGGCAACTGGCTTAAACAATTAGGATAATTATTTTCCTTCCCATACCCTAAATATCACTGGTTTAAAAATGCCCTAGGAAAAATATGCCAATACAAAGATATCCTCTATATCAAATGTTCTCCCTGGAGTACCAGGGATGTTGTGTGCTGCCTCTTCCATCAGCTTACAGTTTTTGCATTATTTTGAACACTTGTTCCATACAATGCAGGCATGATAAGTTGCTCCCAGGTAGTATCCAAGCGCTAGAAGTATCTTTTGGACCTAAAAGTCAAAAGCTTAAATTATTATGTTTTGCAAATAAAGCCTCCAACACATGACTTTCAAAGCACATGGCTAAATGTTAAACTGTTTATATTTAGTTTAAAATTCTGGTCTGCAAACAGTTTTTATGCAGCACAATGTAGAATCACTTCCAAGCTTACAAGGCAGACAAATCAAACTGCTTCAAGATAAAATCCTTTTAAGCATCTCATTTTTAATTTTAGATTTTTGTGCCCTTTCAAACTTGGGATCCTCAGTTCCCTACATATACCAGCTAAATAATTAAAGAACCCAAACAAACATTTTCTACATTATTCTTTTATGTACAAGACACATAAGTAGGGAAACAAGCTCTATATTTATAGATCCATGGCAAATTGTTTTGAAATTGTTTTGATATGTATTCACTGATTATCATTCACTTCAAAAATAAGTATCTTTCCAATAGGAAACTTATACAGCCTTGAGTTTTTCTCTCATTGTTTTTTAATTGGCAGACTTGATTTTAATAAAGCCTATAGCTTTGTTAAGAAAAGCTTTATGTTAGAGCTAATATAGCAATAAGCTTTGAAAACATAGCAAGCAACAGATGTATCACAAATGACAAAGATTTCTAATTAATTACAGAGACCGCAGTTTTCATGTTGCCAAATTGCATTTAAACTTAACAACAATAACAAAAAGGGCATAGATCCTGTCTCCCATAAAAGAAAGAAAGCTTTAATTTCTTGGTCTGTTGAAAGCCCAGATGAAGTGGACTACCATGAATTTATTTTATTACAAGTCTTTCCAGTGTGCAAATTTCTGTAGCCCTTTGAGGAGGTTTGCTACAGGCACAAAGAATACAAATGGTTGGATTCATCCCTGGTTGAAGTTTTCTCTGGTGGGTGACAGCTAGTAATAATTGATAGCATTTATAAACCTTGGGGATGGTGGAACAGGTTTTTGGTAGTTATGATTTTAGAGATAAACCAAGGCTCAGAAATGTTAAATGACTTGTTTACTACCACTCAGGTAACAGTCAATAGTTGCTAAGATTAGACCTTTAATTTTCATAATTCCACGTTCTCTTCAAGGCGGTGGAAAGGTTTTTCTGGAGGAAAACTGGGAAAAGTTCCCAAGAGGAATTTTAGAGAATAGTTTGTAAGTGAACTATGTTAACACTGTAAACACTAAGGAAATAAAAAGAAATATAAAACTCCTACAAAGCTTGACATTTGGTTTTTGAAACATACTAAGCCTACCTCACCATAAACAACCACTGACCATAAACCTATTTTTTGGCTTTATTTCTCACCCTATAGTCATTTTCTTTCCCTTGGAGAGTGCTAATGTTTCTTCCTGTTTATAACACAATGAATATTAAAGCATGTAAGATTATACATGGGGAACAATTTCTGAGACTAAAATATAAATTTTTATTATATTAGCCTGGCTTACAGATTTGTGATTTGGTAAAATTGGTATATTATGGTCTAAAATATCTGCTTTAACTATTATTGAATAGTACGTTTCTTTGCACTGAAACTCACAATATTCATTATATTCTTAATTACTCGTCTTTTTTCAACTTAAAACTAAAATTAAAATACTTATTATCTAATAATTTATGCCAAAAATTCACATTTTCTAAAAGTTAAAGTGTAATGGTTAATCATAAATAAAATTAATAAATTTCAATGTCCCAGGCACTTGACAAGAATTTAATACAACAATCCTATTAAGTGGATACAATTATTATCATTTCTACTTTAAAGAAGAGGAGATGGAGGCCCAGAAAGATTATGTAACTTGCCTACTGCCATCGAAGTGTGAAATCTAGGTTTTGAACACAGGTGTGTCTCATTTCAGAATACCCTTCACCACCTTAATCATTACCTATGCAATGATGTATGGCTCTCTTGCATGAATATAACCTTATCCACTGATATCAAAGTCAAATGAAGGGCCATTGTGATTTAATACATATATAGTATACTTTCATCATCACACAGTAAGTCAATATTCCTTGACAATTTAATACAGTCTCTTCCCTTAAATATAAGGTAAATGCCACAGCAAAGGACCTAAATATAAAACAACTTTCCAGACCCTCTGAAAGATAAATTTGCTTTTGTTATGTTCATTCTAACAATTAAAAGAGCTCTCCGGGACTCCTTCTTTGAAATGCACATCTGAGAGGGCCAGCAGAACTGAAATGGCTTTTAAAGTGTTCTGGCCCCATTACTTACTAGTTGCATAATCTTGTGTTAGACCTTTTGGGCTTCATCAGAACACGGATTATAATACTCCCTACATAGGGAGTGCTAAGAAAGGACACTGTAAATGGTTAGGAGGTTGTATAAATGTTATTCTTGCTTAGGATTGGATTATCCTTGCTTGGCCAGATAAAAAACAGGACGCCCAGTTAAGCTTCAGATAATTTACAAATATTGTTTTATATTTTTACTTTGATTTGATATCGGAGACATTTACAATAAAAATTGTTATCTGAAATTTAAATTTCAGCTAGCATCTTGTATTTTTATAGCTAAATCTGTCAACCCTATTCTTGCCCTCATAGGTAGGAGGGCCTGGAGGATGGTAGGCCCAGTTCCATTCCCCCCACTCCTGCCCCTAACCGGAGAAACTAAGGCAAAGGGCAGGTTGAAGAGTGAATCTAGAGAAGGGGAAGAAAGGGGAGAGCTGGGTGGAGGAGGGCTTCTCACGGGTGGGGCTGGAAGCAGAATCCGCTGACAAGCAGATTCTACCGAGCTTCCCGAACCCCCGCAACTCGCGCCGCTCAGGCGGGCCAACACCCCCCGCCCCCATCCCTGGGCAGGAACAGAGCGGCCTTTCCACCCACCGTTGCCTGGGCGGCAGCAGCAGCAGCAGCGGGCTCTGGACTCGCTGCCACCAGTTTCTCTCAGCCGCCATCAGCAGCACCGACACCACAGAGGCCGCCGCCATGTCCCTGGAGCCTGGACGCTTGTTGATGTGCAACTGCGTCTCGGATGTGACCCAAACCGTCCCTCCCTCCAGACCGTATAGAAGTCTCTTGTCCTCCGCTGGCCACCGTCCAGTCTGATCCAAGAAGTAGGCCAATCCGAGCGAGGCATTCAGGAGGAGGCGTCACCGCTAAAACCAATCAAAGAAGAGAGTAGAGCCGCAGTGCTGGAGATGGCTGCGTGCCCCTAGGGGTCGCTGCTTCGTTCGTTCCTTCCGGTGGGATCCAACTAGGGTAGGGCCTGCTGTTCTCAGACCTTTTAGGCTACCTGAGTGCCCCATGGATATTTCTTTCTGTGGTTTATGGAGTTGTTTTTCTCTCATGGGCTTCAGGGCGAAGAGCCCTTACATGACCGTTAATCTTATAGAGTTTTCTGAGGGGAAGAAGAAAGGGGGAATGTCCTGATATAAAAGAGTGTGGGATATGAAAAATACATTTTATAATGTTTCCCCAAATGTGAAAAACATGTATTTAAAACAAATCCTCCTCTTAATCGTCTCAAAATTGAAATTACAGAATTTTAAGATAAACTTGTTTTTTCTGTAATGTCACATTTAAAAAATTGAGATATAATTGACACATAGCATTGTATAAATTGTACAACCTATTGATTTGATACCTTTATATATTGCAATATGATTACTGTCATAGGATTAGCCAACACCTCTTTCATGTCACATAATTATGATTTCTTTTTTGATGGGACATTTAAGATCTACTCTCCTAGCAACTTTGAAGTACACGATACAGTATTGTTGACTATAATCACTAATGCAGTGCATTAGATCTCTAGAACTTACTAGTCTTCTAGTTGCAAGTTTGTAGACTATTTTTACAGCAATAATGAGCATAAGATAGAGCTTAACCCTTCCCCCACTTAAAAAAAATCAGGTTATACTCTTACTATTGAGATTTAAGAGTTCTTGTATTTTAACAGTCCTTTTTTTTTTTTAAAGAGTTCTTTGTATGGTTTAGATAATAGCCCCCTCTTTTTTTAACAGAGAGTTATATTTTTCATACATATTTTCTATCAACCCATAACTTCTCCTTTTATTCTCTTAATAGTATCTTTCACACAGCAGAAAAGCTTCATTTTAATGAAGTCTATCTTATCAAGTTTTTCTTTCATGGTACATACCTTTGGTATTGTACCTAGAAAGTCTTCACCAAATCCTGGGTTATCTAGACTTTCTCCTGTGTTATGTTGTTTGTTGTTGTTCATTTGCTAAGTCATGTCCGACTCTTTGCAACCCCATGGACTGCAGTACACCTGGCTTCCCTGTCCTTCACCATCTCCTGGAGTTAGCTTAAACTCATGTCCACTGAATTGGTGATGCTATCCAACCATCTCATCCTCTGCTGCCCACTTCTCCTGCACTCAGTCTTTCCCAGCATCAGGGTCTTTTCCAATGAGTCGGGTCTTTGAATCAGGTGGCCAAAGTATTGGAGCTCTAGTTTCAGCATCAGCCATTTCAATGAATATTCAGGGTTGATTTCCTTTCAGATTTACTAGTTTGATTTCTTTGCTGTCCAGGGGACTTTCAAACGTCTTCTCCAGCACCACAATTTGAAAGCATCAATTCTTTGGTGCTGAGCCTTCTTTATGGCCCAACTCTCATATTCGTATATGACTACTGTTATGACTACCATACATAGCTGTGACTATACGGACCTTAGTTGGCAAAGTGATGTCTCTGCTTTTTAATACACTGTCTAGGTCTGTCATAGCTTTCCTTCCAAGGAGCAAGCATCTTTGAATTTCATGGCTGCTGTCACCATCCACAGTAATTTGGGAACCCAAGAAAATAAAATCTGCCACTGTTTCCACTTTCCCCCCTTCTATTTGTCTTTAAGTGATGGGACGGGATGCCATAATCTTAATTTTTTGAATGTTGAGTTTTAAGCCAGCTTTCTCACTATCCTCTTTCACCTTCATCAAGAGGCTCTTTATTTCCTCTTCAATTTCTGCCACTAGAGTGGTATCATCTGCATATCTGAGGTTGTTGATATTTCTCCTAGCAATCTTGATTCCAGCTTGTCATTCATCCAACCTGACATTTTGCACAATATACTCTGCATAGAAGTTAAATGAGTAGGGTGATAGTATACAGCCTTGATGTACTCCTTTCCCAATTTTGAACCAGGCTGTTGTTGTTCCATGTCCAGTTCTAACTGTTGCTTCTTGACCTGCATACAGGTTTCTCAGGAGACAAGTAAGGTGGTGTGGTATTCCCATCTTTAAGAATTTTCCACAGTTTGTTGTGATCCACATAGTCAATGAAGCAGAAGTACATGTTTTTCTGGAATTCCCTTGCTTTCTCTATGGCCCAGTGAATGTTGCCAATTTGATCTCTGGTTTCTCTGTCTTTTCTAAATCCAGCTTGTACATCTGGAAGTTCTCAGTTCATGTACTGTTGAAGGCTAGCTTGAAGGATTTTGAACTTTACCTTGTAAGCATGTGAAATGAGTGCAGATACATGGTAGTTTGAACATTCTTTGGCATTGCCCTTCTTTGGGATTGGAATTAAAACTGTTATGGGAATTTTATTGTTTGATGTTTTACATTTAGTTCAGTAATTCATTTTGAGTTAATTTTCTGAGGGGAAAAAGTTGTTCCATACAACAATTGTTTTCATTTTGTTTTAATTATGTATATTTATGTCTGCTGTATCATGCGGTAAAATTTATATCATGCTATGGTATGTAGTCTAAGAAGTTTGAAGAGCTTTGCTGTAGTCAGTGGTGCTCACTGTGTGGTCCCAGGACCAGCAGCATCAGTAATCCTGGGTATGTGTTAGAAATGCACATTCTCAGATCTTATCCCACACTACTGAATCAGAATCCCTGGAGGCAAGGACTAGGAGTTTGTATTTTTAAAAAATTCATCTATATTTCCAGGTGATTCTGCTAGTTTGAGAACCACTGATTTAGACTAAACCAGGTACCTCACCTCACTTGTGGCACCCAGGGTGGATCCTTTGACTTTTTATTCATTGTCAGAGGCATGGCTGACAATCCACCAAAAGGGAGGTAGAATCTACTTTGGTAGTGCTTGGAGGATAATTTGTCTTCTAAGCTCAGGCAAATCCTTACCTGAAGGCAGAGAATGGTCTAGATTCATATGTTTAGTGATACACACTTTGGTTCTTATACCAACAGCATCTACAAAATGAGACCAAAGTCATACAGGGTTACTGTGGGGCTTAAATGATGTTTGTGAAATGCCTGCCATCATACCAGGTGGCACAGAGCAGTCACTTACTATATGGTGGTGATAGCTGCTGTAATTGACACTGCCTATCACAACTGGTAAAGAATCCGCTTGCAATGTAGGAGACCCCAGTTTGATCCCTGGCTTGGGAACATTCCCCAGAGAAGGGATAGGATACCTACCCAGTATTCATGGGCTTCCCTGGTGGCTCAGATGGTAAAGAATCTGCAATGCAGGAGACCTGGGCTCAATCCCTGGATTGGGAAGATCCCCTGGAGGAGGGCATGGCAACCCACTCCAGTGTTATTGCCTGGAGAATCCCTATGGACAGAGGAGCCTGGTGGGCTACAGTTCATGGGATTGCAAAGAGTCAGATATGACTGAGCGACCAAGCACATCACAACCTTTGGCATATAATTGATATTCAATAGATGTGACTGATTATTAATTTGTTCAGTAGAGAGGAAGGCAGGCTATTCTGACTTATTCCTTGATTTTTCCATACATTTCTTGGAGCCCCCTTTTTTTGGGGGTGGGTGGGCAAGAATACCAGAGTGGGGTTGCCATTCCCTTCTCCAGGAGATCTTCCTGACCCAGGGATTGAACCCAGGACTCCCTCTCTGTAGGCACATGCTTTACTGTCTGAGCCACCAGGGAAGTCATTAGAGCAATGTAATTTGTCAGCAACAAGAGATAAATCATAATTAGGATAGGTAAAAAGAGGCACAGAATGGAGGAGGGCTGTGGAGGAGAGAAGACAGGAAGCCTGTCCATATTCACAAGAAAAATGGAGATAATGACTGTTTTCTTGAAGGAACAAGGAGGTATGGGCTATTGAAAGCTATGCTCATTTCTGCTTAGTTATACAATTTCAGAACTGCAAAAGGGACCTTGGGGATCACAGACCTACTCCCTTATGGCCCAGGTAGAGTAGCTGATGCCCCAGAGAGAGTGTGTGTTAAAGATGAGGGGACAGAACTGGTTTCTGAGGACAGACACTGCCTGTTACATCTTGCTGTAAGTCAGCCAATGCATCCCCATGGAAACCCCTGAAGATTGTGAAGGTACAGATGGGGGAAGGAGAGCTGCCTTCTGAGTGTGATTTCTTTCTTTCCTATTTCTTTCTTTTTTCTCTCATTCCTATTCATAAGCTTCTCCTTACTCTTCCCTTCTCTGTTCCCTTCCATTTGTGATTAAGAACCTGACTTAATCCAAGAAGCTGAGGTCACTGAATCTGCAAATTTCAGAACGTCCCACATTATCAGTCTCCTCAACAATATGTTGCTTTCTAGGGACCAGTTCACAGTTGGCTCTGACTGGGCACCGGATACTACTACTACCAACAGGAAAGACTTCATCTGGTTCCTCAAAACTACTTTTCATCCTTGAAGAGCCAGAAACGACTGCGGAAACACAACCTAAAGCTATATTACTCCTTTGGGTCTTTAACCCCTCTCTGAATTTCTTGCAAGGGGTTGCTATGAAAACGGTTGCTCTACTTGTGCAGGCAAAGTGCAAAGAGCCCAGTCACAGGAGGGAAGAACCTCTGCACAAATTTTACTTTGCATGTGGCTTAACACCATCTCTTAATCACAGCCCACAACTATTAGCAGAAAGCATTGAAGAACGCCTCCAAACGCCAGGGTTGAGGAGCTATTACTAGAAATTTCATCCAAGGTGTTTGGGGTCCGGCTTTTTACATAAAAAAGAGGAAACCTGAGCTTTCCAGAATTGGCTCAGAACCTGAGGGTGATCCTGGCACTCTCGCGACCGGGTCCCTCCTTTTAAGAATGGATTGGGAGGACAACCTGGCCAGATTTGCATTTGCTCAGGCTTTTCACGTGGGCTTCTTAATTAGGTTACTCTGTCTGTCAGGTAGTATCTGGAACCACCTAATGAAGCCCTGCGACGGTATCTACCACTGGATAGGTGCGGAGAAGACGCTCCTGCGGCTGACAGGTAGGATTCGCAAGGACGCTGTGCCAGAGACTTTCCTGGAGGGAGCGCTGGCGCGCCTGACTGTTGGCTGGTGCAGCGCTGGCGAGCTGCACAAAGGAAAAGGCCCACACGGTGGAGTCACTCATACGTACCGACCTGCCGAGCCCAGCTGCCGCACAGCCCGCGCTCCCGGCTCCAGATGCGAGTGTGTCCGGTGGACGCTGATAACTGAACGAGACAACCCCTAACAAGGGGAAACAAACTCTAGCCACCCCTGGGTCCCCGGAGTCACGAGATGGGACGGTCAACTGTACCTCATACAGCCCTTCTCCCAGAGCACCGGCGGGCGGCCGCAGAACTTCCTGCCAGTCCCTTTCTTGCCTGGGCTTCTCCACAGATACCAGGCGAGGGGTCGGGGTGTAGGATGGGGGTGGGAGTAGAGTGGGGTACCAAACCGAAGTCGCTGTCTCCTCTCCCCGACAGCTGAGGACGGGTCTTGAATCGCCCCCAGTCTTAAGGGACGATTCAAGATAGGTTCCTAGTGGCTCAGACAGTAAGGAATCTGCCTGCAATGCAAGAGACCTGGTTCCATCTTCCGATCTGGAAGATCCCCTGGAGAAGGAAATGGCAACCCACTCCAGTATTCTTTCCTGGAGAATGCTATGGACAGAGGAGCCTGGTGGCTTACAGTTCATGGGGTTGCAGAGTCGGACACCAATGAGCAACTAACACTTAGGGGAGTTGGGCACATCATCCCCTGAATAAGGACACGCGCGTGCGCACCTCTCCAGGCGCGTCGGGCACCGCCCCCCGGGCGGGGAAAGGTGCGCGCGGAGGCGGGAAGCGCTGCGACGCGCGGTGAGGCGGCGTAGGCGGCGCGGAGCACTCCTCCAGGTCCCTCAGCACCTCAGCTCCTCAGTCCTCCGCAACCGCCGAGTCCGCGCGCCTCTTGTGGGCTGACTGAGTATACTTCATCCCGACCCTCCCAGGAGGCAGAGCCAAAGATCGGACCTCAGATCCAGAAACCTATTCACCCCCCGCGACCCAGGAAGCCAGAAGCAGGGTTACGGCGAGACTGGGGCGACGTGCTCTTCTCTCCTTCGGAACTGCTACTTTTCTGTCTCCCAACGGCAGTCGTCGCTTTGGGAGAGCTGCTCAACCGATTCTTTAAATTTACCCCCTGCGGGGCGTGGCTGGCGTCCTCTAGCCGCGCGGCGTTGGAGAGTTGGCCTTGACTGGGAGTGACTCTCGTTTTGTGCCTTAGGAGAGCGAGAAAGAGTGTGAGGGCCGAACATCCTTTGGAGGAGATGCCGTTAAATAGTCATCCATAGCAGCGATAGAAACAGCTTTGTGTTGCTTTGTTTTGTTTATACCGAGTGGTTTTTCGGTGAAATGCTGTTTTGGTTAAAAGAAGAAATGGCCCCTCAGGAGTTCACACGGCGACTGGCCACAGTGATCACTCATGTCGGTAAATGACGCTTTTTAAAAATCTTGCCTTTTATTAATGGAGGGTGGGGGCGTTGTCTGGGGCCTAGTCTCCCCCGACCCCTCACAGCAGCCCTAGGATGGCCTTGGGTGTGAACCTCGCTGCCTTGGGTGCTGCTCTGTAACGGGCATCCCTAAAGCGCAGCGCTCGCAGCCCTCGGGTCCGCCGCGTCTGGCGGGGCCGGGGTAGGCTGTGGGGCAGGTATCTTCACCAGGTAATTGCCAAGTCTGTTGAACCCTACACCGAGGGCTCCCTGGAGGTTAGGATCTGTTACCCGCTGCTGACCGCGGGCAAGGTGGCAAGTTGTGTCGTAACTGACGCGACTAGAAAGGAGAGGGAACAGGAGGAAGGGAGGCCGGTGCTTTCCAGCAGAAACTGCTGCCAAGACACTGGGGTACGGGGTGCCGAGGTGCGGGCCACAGTAGAGGGCCTCTGGGCAGTCCTGCTCCCTGGCCTGTCCCGTGGAAGTGCTGCCTGGAGGTGTCGCCCCATCCCTGGTGAAACCCACTCAGAAACCTCTGCAAGCCCCGGGAGACTGAGCAGTTTTAATCCTCTTCCATGAGTTAAAAAAGGGGAGCAAAACATGCATGCCTTCTTCCTGAAATAAGGGTTATGGTGGAAAGACAGGACATTGAGACGGTGGCAAGGTTAATTCTTTTTATCATTCCTCCCACCCCTGCGTCTTCCCTGGACCTCCTTAAATAGAAAACGCATTCAGGTTCAGATCTTTTGAATGTAGCTGACTAGGATTATCCTGATCATTTTCCCTGTTGCTCATTTCACTTTGAGGTCCTTCTGTGAATGCAAATCAGTTTTCATTGATAAAGTCAGTAAGTTTTCAATCTCATTGTTCCACCCATTTGTTAAAACTGCCTTCTTGGTATTTATGTGATAAATACTGCTTCAATTAGCCATCAGTGCTCTTTGAGCACCCTAGGTCAACGTGTTTAGTACAATAATGATACATACATTATTCATACTTATGGAATGATACACATGTGGGGATATACTTTGGAAAATGATTTATGGATACATGGGAGGCTCAGTTTTGATGATTCAGTTTTAAAACTGTTTCTGGTGCCCAGTGTGGCCACTGAACTGGATTTTAAGACAAAAGGTCAGTAGAATTCTACCAGGAAAGACTGAATGTGAAATACTGCTGAAGGCAGGATAAAATAAAACAGAACTGCGAGTCTGAAATATACTGAATGCTGAGATGATTGTGCTAATATCAACAGGGAAAGAGCAGTGAACTGGGGGTATGACTGTTTGGATTTGAATCCTGCCCTAGAAAAGTCATTCAACTTCAGACTGGAAAATGGGAATTTTAGTAATCCTTCCCACCCAGCTCAAAGTCTGCTTGTAAGATAATGTGGGTGAAAACACCATCTAACCTGTGACTGTGTTATTGGTCCTATTCTTGGACCCTCTGCTACTAAAGATATTGGGCAGATCATTGGGCCTCTTTCAGGGTGAAGCTTCCCATCAGTTAAACGAGGAGGTAGATGTGGACAATTATTCTCATCTGTTTCTCTGGATGTAGGATCTTCTTGAAGATATGGTAGGCAGTATATTCCTTGGCTGACACCAGGCTGCCTGTGGGGCCCAGACTATGGTATTTTCTTTTCCACCTTGCTCCCTCCCTCTTTCCATAGTCAGCTCTATGTAGGATACAAACATGAATTTGTTGTAGTTTATGACCTCAAAGAACTTCTAATGACCCCTGGCATTTGTGTGCTTTGCAGCATTCCGTCTCTTCCTGTGTAATCCCACAAACCTGTGAAGTAGGTGGGGTATACATTATCACTCTCATCTTACAGTAAAGCAATTGAGACTTAGGAGGGTCATCATTTAAGGTTTCAAGAGGTTAACCAGTGGCAGGCTTAGGACTAGAAGGTACTTTTCAGATGTTCTGTTTGAGGATCTTACTGAGGGGTTCTCTAACCCTGAAGCTACCCTGGCCTTCATGGAGAACTGAACTGTGTAGCTAGTAAAGCTTCTCTTAGATGAGATTGGCTCTATTTTTTTTTCCTTCTTCCATTTTTATTGGTATGTAATTAACATACAGCACACACTGTATAAGTTTGGGATGTATAATGATTTGACTTAAACACATCATGAAACTATTAACCACAATAAGTCTAATGAATATCCATCATCTCATTGAGATACAACATTGTGTCCTAAGTTGCTTCAGTCATGTCCGACTTTCTCCAAGGCTACAGATTGTAGCCTGCCAGGCTCCTCTGTCCATGGGATTCTCCAGGCAAGAGTACTGGAATGGGTTGCCATGGCCTCCTTCCGAGATGCAACATTAAAGAAATAGAAAAAACATTTTTATTACTTGTCATGAGAACTCTTAGAATTTATTCTCTTAACAGCTTTCATATATAACATACAGCAACCTTAATTATATTTATCATGTTATACATTATATCCCTAGTACTTATTTATCTTATAACTGGAAGTTTATACTTTTTGACTCCCTTCTTCCAGTTCCCATTTCCCCCTACCCTCTTCCTCTGGTAAACACAGATCTGATCTCTTTTTCTACAAGTTTGTGTTTTGAAGTATAGGATTGGTTCTGCATTTGACTTTGGGCATTTCCTTGGTGAGCAGCCTCTGAAGGGGTGTGATCATGAGTTGGGCAAGGATTGAGAAGTGCTTGGAGCAAGATGTAGAACATTTCCTGGTCCTGTCCTACCCAGTCAACTGGGCAATAGTGCTGTGCTTTCATATTAATTCAGCCACTTCTGCCTCTCAGTCAGTTCCTCCTCTAGCTGGGGTTTCTGCTCTTTCCATAGTCCTTTAGATTTGACAGTTCAGGTCTGGGGCCTGATGGTTCAGTTTCTGAAATATCTCATGAGTCTCTTTCCTCTGTCCATTCCCACTGCTACCTGCCTGTAACCTGCTTCAGAATGTCATTTCCTCCTGACTAACCCTTGTGCAAGCCTCCTGCCTTTCTTGTGTTTGCCTCTAATCTATACCAGGAATAAAAACAACAGGAAAGCCACACACACACACACACACACACACACAAACACACACACACACCACTGTGTATTCTAGAACCTTTAATGATACCCATACATAGTCACTGTCTGTAGCCTGGAGTACAAGCTCTGTACTATTTGGCACCCTTCCTGTCTTACTCCCCAATACCTGATATTTCTACACCTATGGTTGCTTAACTCAGGCTCTTCTGTTCTTCAGCTTTGTTCTACTATATTTTTCTATCCTGTTCCCACTTCTAAACTTTTGCTTCTGCTTTCCCACCACCTTCAGTGACCTCCTAATATGTTTATTCTCACACGAATAATATACACCTTTCAGTCCTGAATCAATGTCGCCTTCTCTGATCCTGATATCAGTACATAGTGATTCCTGCTTTTGTTTGTTTTTGTTGTTGTTGTTTTTTTTGATTCCTGCTTTTGAATTTGAAGTAGGTTTTGTTCTACCCACATGACACCTCTCATACTCTCCCTTGTATTATGTTTAGTTGGTTATTCATGTGCGTATCTCTGCTCCTAGACTCTTCATTACTTATCCATGTGGCCTAGACATACACAGGACTTCCCTCTAAGGAGGTACAGAATAAATGTTTACTGAATAAATGAATGATTTGTTGTGCCTTGAACTGGACTTTGAGTACTTAGTAATGCCAGGCAATTTTTACACTTTTAAGAACAGCTTGGAAGTATTTGTAAATAACTGTTTGTTTCCTAAACCCGATTTTTCAGGTAGACATAAAGTCCTTCAAGTATTCTTCATATGATGTGGTTCTCTGTGGGATCTCTTTCTTTGGATTTTGTTAGTTTGTCAGGGAACCTAATAAAAATATGCACTTCACATGTGATCAGTGTCCAAGTGTGTTTTTACCCATGTAGGGCACAAAAGAGGACCATCCTCTCACCTTTATTCTGGACTGTACAGTCACATTGGTTCAGTTACAGAATTTCAGAATTGGAAGTGTTATATGATTTTCTCCATCCCATCCCTTTCAAGTCTTTAATCTTCTCTGCAACTTTTACTGTACTGCTATATATATGCAAAGGTGCTGCCTAGGAAATCATGAACTTTCTCTTAATGCATCTCACATTGCTCTAGAACTTTGATAGACAGGGCACATGTGGTTAACACATGTGGTTTCTATTCAGTGGAAACCCTTAGTCATCCAGCTGATCAGTGTTGGTAATGCCCCATGCAGGTTTCATATTTCTAGTTCAGGTCACTTTCCACCTTGTCATCTCATATTAGAAGTAATTATTTTTACCTGACTTTATCATTGTTCTAAAATAATTTTATGTTTGTCCATGCCCAATTAAACTGTGAAGCAGAAGGGACTATCCTTTGAGATATACTTATATAATTGAAGATTGGATTGGTGGCTGTTTTAGTGATAAAAGCTGTAGGATTTTGATTTGTAACCCAGGCCGCTATGTTTAGGACACTACTGGCATTAGTAATTGGCAAGCAGAAGAATACTAAACTAAGAAATTCAGCTCACAATTCTTTATTCTATACAATGGAATAGTGGCTGAATGCCTCAGATTATGTCTCAGCTAAAGTTGGTACTGAGGGAAGAGTCTAATGAGCAGAGTTTCTGCTGTTCAGATGGGATTACCTGTTGTGAGGACATCTAGACATGCTGGAGTAGTGACTTCACCTATGCTAAAAGTGAATTAACTGGATCTGAGCCATTTTTCTGTTAAGCTCTCTAGACACTGTGCCTGGGGCTTATGGACTAAAACTGTTTGCACCCTAAAAAAAATAATTGACAACTAAATTGCAAAATAAAATTTAAGAAATGTGTTAATGCTCACAATAAAATAATATTTTCTTACATTAAAAGCAGTGCATATTTGGAATGCCACTGCTGGAATGCCAGTGTGAAGAACCCCATGGATCCATTCCCCAGTGATACATCTGTAACATCTGGTGAAAATTGTAAAATAAATAACCTTTTAAAGTCTCTGGGAGTT